CTCGATTTCCCGCTTTTAGAAGATTTTTGCACTGCGCTTGTGATTCTTTATATATTAGATAGGTAGATAGATAGATTAGATTTGTCTTTTCTCAATGGCGGTGCAAAAAGTATCGCGACGAGGGCCACAGAAGATTTTTCAAACGAAGGGGCGTGCTACGGTTACTCCTTTCGGAATGGAATGTTTAGCTACTACCCACTTCTTGATCTTATAGCTTTTTTGAGTTTAGATTTTAGGAGTAAAGACGAATCACCTAATACACAGTTTCATAGTATTTTCCGAGATTTCGCTAATCATTCAGAGGAAGGGCGCCTTCCGCCCCACTCCCCCTCCAAGGTCCACCACCGCTTTCAACACATGGTGCATCACCGTCATAAATTTTAATATCCTGGTGTTGAGTGTATCGAGTACTGGGATTTTGGAAGAGACTTTCTTTTCCTACACTAACAACTTCAGCCTCAGCCTACTCGCGCCACGGGGTACCCTGTTTGCGTCGCTCCATCCGCTTCAACTCAATGTGTAGTGCCAACGCTATTTGCACTTTCTGGTGGAGGAGTCAAGACCGTGGTGAAAGATCATAAATGTGGTAGATCAGACTATCGACGCACTGCGAGCGGTAGGACCCGCAACTTTATCACAAGTTTCAGCGCTCTCCATCCTTGTAGACACGAACTTCTTACACTGTTCCTACTTACCCACTTGAGACTCACATAACTTTCGTTTCATGACGTCGATGGAGGCCGTATCAGTGCTAAATGGAGATCGAGGTAATTACGTAGATTTAGGATAGTGAGCGACATCATATCATCAATTACCTTTCAAATCTAGTATTCTTCACAAGAGATTCTGAGGAGCTTTCGGACGAATGCACTTTCGATTGTTTCTTGAAGGAAATTCTCAACCGCATCAGAAAAGACGATGTTCGTGTTCAGATTCTGGTTTTGGTGCCCACTCGAGAGCTCGCGCTACAGGTAGCTAGCTTGAAGATTACATACCTTGCAGAATATATACTTTGTTGAGATGGAGTTTGAAGTTGAAGCTTTTGACTCAGCGCAAAAGTGCTGAGTAGGTAGAGTGAAGATTTCTGCTGTATTTCCAGATTACCGAAACGATGCAGAAGGTCGCCAAGCTTATGTCCATCAAAGTGCATGCTTGCGTTGGAGGAACTTCTGTGACTGTGGATAGGATGGTCCTGGTAAATGGTGTTCACATCATCGTTGGAACACCAGGTCGCGTGAAGCAAATGATCACTCTGAAATCACTTGGTAAGTATTCCCTTATTTGCATCATTTAACTTCCACTCCTTGGGCTTTACAGCTTTTGTTTTTTTTTCTTCTCTTTGATAAAGAAAAAACACTCCAGAGGCCTCATTGTGCCCTTTTCGAAATATTTGAATGAAAATCATTACAAATCTG